TTTTTGTTTCTCTTTTTTAAATTTGCTATTGCATGTTTATCCATCGTTATCTAATAAGTTAGCCCGAGTAGGATCATGCCTGACCCGTTTTTCCACAAATTGAAAAGAACCCCGTAGGGTGTAAAGAGCTAAGAGATCGACTCATTAATTAAACGAGCCATTAATTGAGCTATTGTTTGTCAATATTAGCGAATCGAAGTCGAAATTAACAAGTCAAACTCAAATATTATCAAATTATAAAAATTTGAAAAGCATATAAACAAAAATATCCAAAAGTCCAAGCTTTATAGCGTGTTTGTATACAAATATTTTTGCTCAAAAGAATTTTTTTTATTAATCATGGTTAATTTTGTAAAAAGTAGTATGGCTAGTTTTTAGTGAAATTTTGATTTTATATTAAAATAATATTTAAAATAAAATAATTAAAGTTGACTTTATGTAAAAGTATGAGAGAAATGATATGAAGTGATGATTGGTGAAAATTACGTGAGTGGAGGAATAGTGAATTAAAATTGATGTGACGTGTAAAAATGATTGGTTGATATTATTTAATTATATTGATAATATTTAGGATAGTGAAAAATTGAATTAGTTGCGTTAAATTTTAAGTATGATTTAAGTGTGGATTGAATTATTCATATATAAACATACCCTTAATGTGGGATGTTCTTGATCTGAACCCATGAAACTGCAGCGTGAATGACTACAAGCTAAAATCAATTCTGACTGATCGAATAATTTTTTTACATTACTTAATTCAAAATCCAACTCAAATGTAATCCAACTCAATTCTCCACAATATATCAAAATAATTAAATAATACTAATAAATTGTCATCACACATCATATCAATTCTAAATCATTATTCATACACCCACATATTTTTTATTCTCTATTTAATAATCTTTTACCTACCTTTATATTTTATCAAATTTAATCATTATATTTTATTTAAATACACAGATTAAAAATTCTACAGAATCCTTCACTCAATTAGCTTTATTCAGAATTAATTCACTTTTCAAAATTAATTCACTTTAACAAATAATTCCAATCAAAAACGGTTTTATTTAAAGGATAATGCTCCTCTACCCACGTTGGGATCGTGCATTTATTAACTAACGCCTTTGTTTAGCGAGAAACACGTTTTATATTGAAAAACTAAACGCGACATAAAAATCTCCAACGGATATCCCCAGCTGCTCTCTGTCACACACACATTCATCGTGTCGTCCACTCGATTCACTGTCATCGTCAATTGATTCACAAACACACAGACATATCCACAGTAATGTCTGGTGTTCTTCCTCACTCAATCAGAGTCCATCTAAGCTATTCATCACCTCACAGCTTCAAGAAACAGCCGCCTCCTTCACCTCTTGCTATCTCTTTACCTCAATCGTCGTCTTCTTGCTTGAAGCATGGAGATGGGTCCAGGCTCTTGCTCCGAAGAAACGGGCTACTTCTTGCGCGGGCCGAAGATAGGGCCCGGGATATTTCTTCTAATTTGTCGAATCGACCACAGCCCAGCTCAGAGGTAGTTCATCTTCTTATCAGTATCACTTTTGGACATCTTGGGTTTGTATTAAACGAAATACAAAAATGGGTATTGATTGATTCGACGTGTTTCACATTTTTTTCTTTAGTTTAATTGGTAATTGGTAATGCGAATTCTTCAGCTTTAGTTTAATTTGTACACAAATGATGTTGTTAGGCTACATATATTAAAAAAAAAAATGCATTTTTTTTGCTTTAGGTGAAAGGTTGGTTAATTAGTAATTGGTACTGCTTTCTAGTTTCAAGAGCGTGCTTTGGTTCAAACTAGTTTTAAAGATGTGTTTGTACAGGAATTGAGTCCACCTGGAACATGTGATCCTTTGTGTTCTGTTGATGAGACGAGCTCCGAAGAATTCGAAGCCAATTATCAACCAAAGACAGATTTTGTTAAAGCTCTTGCGATTCTTGCAGCTGCTGGAACTGGAACATTAGCAATTAATCATTCTTGGGTGGCTGCGAACCAGGTTCATACACAGCTTTGTGAATCTCTTTCATCTTTTGTGTAATTATTCAGCTTGTGGATTAAGATCTATAATGTGTATTTATAAACTCGTAATGATTATTCGAACTTCGAAGAATAATAAAAGACTATTGAAACGAGAATTTGGGATGTGATTCAGGATCTTGCAATGGCGTTGTTGTTCGGAATCGGTTATGCTGGAATAATATTTGAAGAATCACTTGCCTTCAACAAAAGTGGGGTGGGACTTTTGATGGCTGTTAGTTTGTGGGTTATAAGGAGCATTGGGGTAAGTTTTCAGATTCAGTATGGCAATACTAATTTCTTGGTGATCGTTTTTATAATGGTTCACTTGGAGTAAGCAATTAGTAATATATAACACACACAGATACTCACACTCACAGCTGTGTAGTTGAGCTGAAAATGGAAGAGAACTTCTGACTACAATTTTTTTCTGAGCCATTTTTATTTTTCTTTTGAATTAATGTGGTACCCTCAAATTGAATAGCGAAGATGACCTTGGTCAGACATTTCCCTGAATAGTATGCTCTTCTAATCTGCTTGTAAGTAGGAGAGAGAATTTCTGTTAAACAAGATTTAAAGATTATTCCTTTAACTGAATTTCTTTACTGATTGACATTCTCGGTATAATCGAGTCTTTGCTCATTGAATTAATCACAAGCTGACTGTGAAATGACCTTTTGATAGGCCCCTTCAACTGAGGTTGCTGTTTCCGAGTTGTCTCGCGCATCAGGCGAAGTCAGCGAAATAGTGTTTTTCTTGCTTGGTGCAATGACCATTGTGGAAATTGTTGATGCTCATCAAGGTTTCAAGCTGGTGACGGACAATATCACAACCCGCAAACCAAGAACTCTTCTTTGGGTGGTAAGTGTTCCAAAAAATTAAAGAAATAAAACAAAAAAAAAAAATGGGGAAAAAAAGGAAGATACTTATGTAAATTATATTTCATTTCCCTAGAATCCAACTTCTCTCACAACTCATCCTTTTATGTTGTCATCAAAAACTAGTTACATGGTGAAGCTTTGTTTCTTTTATTCAAATACAAGAAAATTTGAATCATGGAAAGCTGTAGTGTTAGGCATTTGTCTAACTCATGCCTATTATCTCCAGATAGGTTTTGTAACTTTCCTCCTGAGTTCAGTACTCGACAACTTGACATCTACTATTGTCATGGTGTCTTTGTTGAGAAAGTTGGTACCACCCTCAGAATACCGAAAGTAAGTATCTTCTACCCACTGGTATATCATTGTTATTGAGGATATGAAATATTTGGGGGTGGTTGTATACACTTCTATTTAGACTTTTCTATAAGAGGGAGAATTGTGAGTGAATAAAAAAAAAAATGATTGGATATGTTATAACTAATGTTGATTTGACAGGGAAATGTATCAAAAAATGTGTATTAATGATTAGTGATGAAGTGGTTTGTTTGATTTGAGTAATGAGTTGTGATTGTTGGGAGAAAACGTAAAAGTGAATGTCGTGCAGTTTACAAAAAATATAAAATAAAAAAAAAAATTCTGTTGTTTATTAAGTGATAATAGATATGCATGACAGGATTCTGGGTGCTGTGGTTGTTATAGCAGCAAATGCGGGTGGAGCATGGACACCTATTGGAGACGTTACAACCACTATGCTATGGATACACGGTCAAATATCCACATTGCAGACAATGAAGGTTCTTTTACCATTCCATTTTTCCAATAAAAAACCATAATCGTCTAATCATTTGAGAAATGTGAACTCCTGGATGAATGCGTGACATCTCAATCATTTTTTGTGAAACCTATTACGATTATTACTTAATATTCATTTCCAACTTTACAACTATTTTTTAGTTTTTTTTCCTCTTTCTTGCTGTAGGACTTGGCAATACCATCAGCTGTCTCACTGGCTGTTCCTCTAGCCCTTATGTCCCTCACCAGGTACTCCTCTTTACTTGCAGAAAGCATTCATAGTAACAGATTATATTCATTTCCTCATTATTTCAAAGGGTCAATTATATCCAACTTTTTATTTATTTTTTTCTACAGTGAAGTTAATGGGAAAGGTCAGAGTTCGGCAGATGTTTTGGCATCCGAACAGATGGCTCCTCGAGGAAAGCTCGTGTTCTCGGTAGGAATTGGTGCGTTGATGTTTGTCCCTGTTTTCAAAGCTTTGACTGGCTTACCACCTTACATGGGAATGCTGCTTGGACTCGGGGTCCTTTGGCTCCTAACTGACGCCATTCACTATGGTGAATCTGAGAGACAAAGGTTAAAAGTACCACAGGCTTTGTCAAGAATCGACACTCAAGGAGCTCTTTTCTTCCTTGGTATCCTTTTATCTGTCAGCAGGTACACTATAAATCATCATATAGCACTGTTCTAGCTCTACGAGTGAAAAATCTTGTTGAAACTCCTTATATTCATTTCTTGCCTCGCTAATCTCAATATCTGCAATTTTCAGGCATCATCAGATTTTCATAAAATTTCATAGCTTGAGTTTCTTTTTCCTTGTTTTTATCTATAATAATACAAAGGAGACCCCCCAACTCTTAGTCCTTACAATTCACAATGGCAACCTTCATCTTTTCCAAATACAATAAATAATCACATGAAGAAGACCAAATGACATGAACAAGATCAATCAAATCATACAAATATTGGACAAACTATAAGATCGATCAAAGTCTCAAAGATTAACTATCCCTTGTAGAACTTTCAAAATTCATTGGCAACTTTTGGCATTTATCTGATACCGTTAATTTCACATGTCGCCAGCCTGGAGGCCGCAGGTATTTTGCGGGAAATAGCAAATTACCTTGACACCCACATTCCGAATATTGAGCTGATCGCAAGTTCGATTGGAGTTGTGTCGGCTATAATAGACAATGTCCCATTGGTAGCTGCAACAATAGGAATGTATGATCTTTCTTCTTTCCCACGCGATTCCGAGTTCTGGCAGCTCGTGGCCTATTGTGCTGGCACAGGTGGGTCAATGCTCGTCATTGGCTCAGCTGCTGGTGTCGCGTTTATGGGGATGGAGAAAGTGGATTTCTTTTGGTACCTACGCAAGGTACAAATTTTTGCTTGCTGTACTGCAGATATCCTAAATGAAACCTAACCAATTCACAATCTGTGATGTAAGTTCTCTTTTATTCGCCTTTTTTTGTTCGTTTTGCAGGTGAGTGGCTTTGCTTTTGCTGGATACGCTGCAGGTATCGCGGCATATTTGGCAATGCACAATGTCTTCAACTTCACCCTGCCGACAACGCTTGCTAATGTCCCTTTCCTCTCGGGTTCATAGATAGTATAAATCAGTAAAATTAAAATGCCAATTATGTCATTTGAAGCACATTAGTGCTTCTGGGTATTGATATTCCAGTAGATCTCATCTTAAAGGTTCATAGCAAAAGGTCAACGCATATATTATGTTCCTTTTTACGCGCGTCGTATAATGAAAAATCATCGATCCGGGCATGAGCCCTCCGAGTTTTTGGGATGATAATATTTACGTCGTAAATGTTTTTATTTTGTTCCTTACATGGCCAATGCTTGCATGAGCAGAGAACTAACTGTACAATTTGCTGTAATTTCTCCAAGATATATGGAATCCCAATCCCACATTGCACTGACTTAAAAAACAGTGAATGGCTGTACTAATTAAAAGTACAACACGATGCTTTCTTGATAAAAACACAGGGACAGCAAAATTCAGTACAGCAATAGGTAAAAATCCATCAACCACATATTCCTGATCCCAAAATTTGACACACCAAATCATTTTATAAGTTCTTTTTCCCCATAAACTAAAATTCTCCTAAAACAATAGCAACCATAAAAAACTTGATGATGGCAAATGCTGAACACATAATAACAACACCCTTACAGCTTGAGATAAACGAACTCCTCAATAGCAGAAATCTCGCCAATCCTAGTCAGCGACTGCTTGCTCGGCTCTTCATCCACCCCGATTGCCATCACCGCCTGTTTCCTTGGAGCAATCCTACCAACGCTCATAAAGCTCACGTTCACATTCTCCTCTCCCAAGATTCGACCCACAGCCCCAATCATGCCCGGCTGATCCACCTGCCTGCATAGAATAATACTCCCTTCCAAGCTCACGTCCACCTCAAACGACCCGACCCTAGTCAGGTGCGGAATTCCATCTTTAACCCTGCCCTCTACCTTAATCTCACCCGAGTCGGTTATGGCACTGGCAAACTTCGAGTCGACATTAGCAATCTGGACTTGGATGAGCTCGAGCGGGTTCTCAGGGGATGCGTCGAGAACGACTCGTTCTTCGGTTATGCGGAGGCCCCTTTGTTTGGCGGTGAAGTCAGCGTTGACGAGGTTCACGAAGGAGGTGGAGATGGGCTCAATCAGGCCTTTTGTGATCATGGCTCGGAGGAGACGGGTGTCCAGGTCATCGGGTGCACGGGCGGAGGCATAGGTGACTTTGACGGTTTTCACGCCGCTGCCGCCGGAGACGAGCTGGACAGCTAGGCGGCCGAGTTTTTCGGCGAGACTGACGTAGGGCTTTAGTTCGGTTAGAACCTGGGAAGAAAATGGGGATTTATGTTTTTTCAGATGTTGACGAGATTGGAACCTTTGGGGAAATTTTTAAACCTCAGCTATTAAATTTAGTGGCATTAACATGTTTCCTGCCCAAGAACTTACCTAGAGCTAGAATAAAAAAAATAATAATAATTTTTTTTTAAAAAAAAAAACAAGGTACTGTGAGGATGAAGCCTTATTGATTCATTTTTTTTTTTTTTTTTGGTGGGGGTGGGGGAAATACTATGAAATGTTTCACTGAGTTCTATCCCTATTACCATTTCTTCTGTATGACTATCATTCTGTGCTCAAAATGCAATGTCATATTCGAAATTTAAATAAAGAAAGCTTGGTTTATGAAAAATGAAGGAAATAAAGATTCTGATCTTCTAAGTGACAAGTTCGTGCTTTACAGAAAAAAATAACAAGAATAATAGTAGTAGTAGTAATAATAAAAATAATAGTAATAATATAATAATACCCCAACTTGTTTGGGACTAAAAGGCTTTGTTGTTGTATAATAATCTGAACCTGCAACTAAATGAAGGACAGCAAATACATCAAATTCGAATGTGAAAAATCATCACGTGAATGTGTTAGAAGCAACCAGGATGGTACATGATATTCTTGTAGCACATATCCTCAACAAAAAATTGAAACTAAGAAAACAGAACTACAGCCGAGAGAAAATTAGAAAAAACGTAATACACGAACATTAATTCAGGTGGCATTTTTCCCACTTAAAACTTGGATAAGATTTGGCTCATACCTGAGCAGGAACCATGGGTGCGTTTACAGCAGTAGCAGCAAGCTCCCCCTTCAATGCTCCAACAACAGCCTCAGCTATTTCAATGGCAACTCCTTCCTGCACACAAATTCAAACAAAATCAAACAAATATTGAATCCCAAGCACAAAGGAAGCAATCGACATCAATTTTGCAAACCTGAGCTTCTGTAGTGCTGGCACCTAGATGTGGGGTCGCAATTATATTTTCATGCTGTACGAGCTTGCTGTCTTTAGCTGGGGGCTCTTCAGTAAAGACATCAAGTGCTGCCTGTAAAGCAATGAATGCAGTAGTAAATTGGCAAGTACAGATAAATGAGCGTTTACACTCACTCAACAAGCTTGCATGCGCACTCAAAAACCAAAAAGAAAATGTGATTCTGGGTTTTGGCTTGAATCTATCTCATTAGTTTTTTACCAATGATAACTTTGCATCTTTTAGTTTTCATTATAAAGGACACGACAATAGTAATTCAGATTCACAAACAAGCACATTTCAACTTCGCCACACAGTAGCAAACACTATCAAATTATGATTCTCAACAACTTCCACATCTTAAATCACAGATATCTGCAAAACACTTCCTTTCCATAACTATTATAACTAATCTCATTCTTAAGCATTCAAGAATGAAGGCGAAAACCTGAGCAACAATGCCAGCATCAATAGCTCTCACTAAAGCCTCCTCATCAATCACACCCCCACGTGCAACATTCACGATTCTAACACCCTTTTTCATCTTGGCAAAAGTCTCGTCGTTTAGAACTTTCGATGTGGCAGCAGTAAGAGGCATGTGAAGGGAGATGAAATCAGCAGATGCAATAGCCTGATCAAAGCTCACAAGCTCGACACCTATTGCACGTGCACGGTCAGCCGGGGCATAGGGATCGTGTGCAATGACGTGCATACCCAGTCCCTTGGCACGCCTAGCTACTTCTGATCCAACCTTGCCAAAACCCATGACAGCCAATGTCTTACCAACGAGTGATACACCTACATATTTGCTCCTCAGCCATTTACCTAGATTATTGCAGCATAAGAAGTTATTCAGCTAATAAAACACAATTTATATCATTATATATTGTCAAATGCCAGGAAATGTAAATCAATATTTTTTTTTTATTTGTTTATGTCCAGTTTTAGGAAGAATCTACCATCTATTCAAGTGCCATGCTCATTTTGTATTTGTTCTCCCCACAGCAACATAGTAAAAGATTTATAACAAAACTCAAGAATGTAGACCACACAGAGGACAAATAAAAATAAGCTCACATTTGAATGAATCGCCATGGTGGAATCTTTGAAATCATATTGAAACTGACACTCACAATTAAAAAATGAAAGCATACTTTTCTCTTAAAAGTTCAACTTTCACATGCTGCACTCACGGTCGAATATTTTTGTACACAATAACCTTTAGCTGATTTTCAGATTAAACTATAGTATCTTTGATCTATCAGCATAAATTTAACATCTGCTGCAAATTCAAGAACCGACACATCAAGATCCTAAGTCAGACCAAAAAAAGGATACTCACATTTTGCAATCGTCCAATTTTATTTATTTATTTTTTAAATCAACAACCAAAATTCAACTAAATCATCCCCCCAAAGCAACCTGTTCGACGAAATGTCTGTCAGGGGATTCGAATAATGTCAATTCACATACACCCCAAAAATTCAAAAAATAGCACCAACCAGCCTTGACAGAGGCATCAGCCTGCGCAATGTTCCTCGCCATGGCAGTAAGCAGCGCGATCCCATGCTCCGCCGCGGCCACGGTATTGGCGGTCGGCGCATTCACCACGAGACAGCCGTGTTCAGTGGCCGCCGCCAGATCCACGTTGTCAATCCCGACGCCGGCCCTACCTACCACCTTCAGCCTCCCGGCGGAGGACTCGAACACCTCGCGGCTGACCTTGGTCCCGCTCCTCACAATCAGGGCGTCGCAGAGCGAGATCTTGGTGCAGAGCTCCTCGGGGCTGAGGTTGTACGAGCAGTCCACGTTCGCGAACTCCTTGAGAAGCTTCACCCCGGCCTCTCCGAGCTTCTCGGCCACGAGAATAGTCGGCTTCGCGTCCATCGAGAGGACGACAAAGCGGCGGGGTCGGTTGCCTTGGCGGCGTAATGAAGGGGTGGCTGCGCCGAAAGCGGTGGAGAAGGGAAGAGGTCGAAGCCGCGAGACCGCGGCGGCGGGCGGCGAGGGTTTAAGGCTGGTCCACGAAGCTGAAGCCGCCATTTTTCAGTATGTTGTGTTCGTCAGCTAAAATGCGCCGCAGTGAGGGGTGTGCGTCGTGGTGCGGGATAAAAAAACATATAAATAAAGTACTTGTTTTTAAAAGTAATTATATAATAGTACTACTCTTATTGTAAGGAAAAGCTTATTATTATATTATTATATAACCTGAAAATCATGGGTCAAGGTCAACATGAAATTAATTGATGACTAATTGATGAAATTAATGGTTCCAGCTAGCCGTGTTTCACTGGAGTTTTTGGTTCGGTATTTGGGGCCGAAGTCTTATTCGTATGGGCGTCTATCTCTGGGGGTCGGCCTATGCGTGTGCGGTTTGTTTCGTCGATTGGAAGGAGGGCATTATTCTATTTAGTGTGTTTTGTTTGTTGTTGTGTTGTTTTGTTTGTTTTTCCTTTTTTGTGTTGGTGTTGGGTGTTTAGATGTTTTTCTTGTTAGTTATCCTGCGGTGTTCTCCTCTTGTAGAAGTTGATTCTCCTCTTGTAGGAGCTGATTCTCCTTTTGTAGGAGTTTTTGTCCTGTTTAGGGTTTGGTTAGTTTAATGTTGTCTTGTGGGTGTGTTAGTGTAGTCTTTCTAGGCTCCGAAAATTCGGGGTCCTCCCGCTAGATTCAGCTAGATAGCTGCTTGGCCTTTCTAGTTGTATGCTAGTTGTAATTATGTGTTTTTAGTTTTTATAATATCTATCGTTTCGTGAATTAATTAAAAAAAAAAATGGTTAAAGCTTGACAAGTCAAGCATTTATCGGGTCAGGTTGACTAGAAAGAAAAAATGCAAGAGCTCGAGATCGGCTCACGATCAATTCAAATTTGATCGGCTCGAATTTTGTTCAAGTTTAGTTGGAAATTTCAATAAAAGTACTGTCTAGTTAGATGTAGTCAAGTAATTTTATATATATTTGATTGACTCGTCGATCAATCGAGCTTGCAAATTATAAGCCCGAGTTATGGAGTAGCCAAAAAACAGAATCTTCCCGCACCAAACCAAACCGAAATAGTCATGTTCTGAAAAATAATGTTCCACAAGATTTTCATTATTTTCGTACCCTCTGATAAGGGAAAAAATATACATTTATTAGGCGACAAGTGGCTCGGGAGAATAAAGACACGTATATTCCGAGAGCCGTTAGAGTCCAGGATTAAAGTCGAAGCCCAACCTCAATTTAGGCCTAAGGTCCCGAGGAACCTTACGTTGGGCCCAAGGTGCTGAAGAGAATTGTTGTAGGCCCAAAGTCCAGAGGAGCTTTATTTTGGGCCCAAAGTCTGGGGTAAGCCCACGAAGCTAATGGGCTGGGAAATCCTCTGTTGCAGAAGGGAGACCTAGATCGTCCGACTCTATAAAAGGACGACCTAGGTCAAGGTAAGACACACATTCTGACCACTCAAAAACTTCATCTTTTATTCATTCCGCAGCCACCACCTCAGAAAACCTAAAACCGATTCTAACTTAAGTATCGGAGGATCTACCCCTGGGGACAACCCCGGGGTTCTGTTTTGCAGGCGTAGGAGCAAAGGAGACGAGTCCAAGAAGACGTTGGAGCATCAATCGTCGCCACGTGTCCATTTAGTTACTTTGTGCAAAATTACACACATATATATTATACATTATTATTATTATTACATTTTATATTACTATTATAGGATTACACAATTAACAATAGGGTAAATTGCACCAAACCCCCCTGTAATATACTAAATCTGCGCGTTTTCCCCTCGTAATTTAAAAATTGCGTCAAACCCCCTTCTATTGTATATCTGCCTGCACACTC